CTAAAAAAAGTAAACAAAACTTTCAAGAAAATAAATGAACTATCTCTCGGATGGCCATTTGAAAGTATTTACAGAAACAAAGTCAAGACTTAAAACTCAATTGAACTATTACTCCGCATACTCTGCGGCGTTCTTTTGCCTCTATCTTACAATATGACTTAAATTTGGAAGCACCGGTAATTCAACAATTACTCGGACATTCTCATTTTGCTACTACCGAAAGATATTTAAAAAAAGATCCGCGGTTTTTATTAACTAACTTACAGCGCCGAGGCTTTCTCTTATAACCTATGACCAAAAAACGCAAACAACATCAATTAATCGGAACTATTAAACACTGTTGACCGGGAACTTCTAAATCAAGAATGCATAAAAATCAACCTTTTTACTGTCTAGAAATTAAAGCCCAAACGCTATTAGGAGTCAGAAAAGAAACTCTCTATGTTTTTTTTAATCTAGTCGCTAAAGACTTGTGAAATACACTAAAATCAGAGACCTTTAAGGATAAAAAATATTCTTTTTACTGTGAAAAACGCACTCGCGGATGAAGATTAAAAGAATGAGCAGAAATAACTAATTAGTAAAAATAAGTTATAACATAACTTTATTCTGATCATGACCAAGCAAAAAACTAAGCAACATCCCTCAGTACTCAAAGGAGAAGCTAAATTTGAATTAGACCAAAAAACTAAAAAAGTCTTGGCTGATTTCATCAAAAAAGCCAAAAAGCATAAAGCAAATCCTAACCAGTATAGTCAAACTATTATTTGCGGATCAGAAGAATTTAGCGAAACCGAAAAGAAGCAAAAAAAAACTAGCAAAACTAGTAAATAATGGATAGTTTTTTTGAACAATTTATTAACGGCGTTTACCAAGAAGCCCAACAAACCCTAAGTTACCTTTTTGGTTATCCACCTTATCGTTGCACCATTATTAAATTTGGTGGTTTTTGTTATAGTCATAATTGGTATGGGAAAACTGATTTGACTTATGACAAAGTAGGTAATTTGAAGATCTATAACAAAACTATTTATCTTAACTCACTTTTTCTTACTAAACAATTCGGAATTACTGATAATTCTGAATATTACTTACCTAATCTTGCTAATACCATCGCTCATGAAATTGCTCATTGCTTAATTGCTGATTATGAACCACAACAAGCTAGCGAGCATGATCTCACTCATGCCATTATCACGGCGGTTTTAGAATGATATATCAGTCAAACTTATGAATTTTGATTGTTAGAACAGTTAGCCAAAAATCAAAAAAAGTCTCCTTCTTCCCTAAAACTTTTAAGAAAATTTAACCATTAAAAAGAGAATGGCCAAAAACTTGCTAATATTAGTTCACTTTTTCAACAACTCTTCTAAAATTAACCATTTTTTTAAAAATCTTTACTAATTTTAACCTTTTTCTCAAAAATAAAAACCCTTATTTTTTAACCTCAAAACGCCTAATATTAGGTCACTTTTTTCAGAGAATTCTCCAACGCTATTTTTTCTCCTAACCC